TTTTCCCAATTTTCTGTTTTTTCTCCCCAGCCCCGAGTATTCCCGGCACTTTTCCCGGCGGGACCTGGAGGCGTTTTCGGCCGAGCCCCTCCTGGTGTTCCCCACTCACTACACGGGAGACCCCGGATACGTCAGCGACACCGAAAATCCCCCAAATCCCGAAATTCCCGAATTCCCGCCGGGACCTCGCAATTCCCGACCCTCCCCCGTCAGTGACAGCCACGAGGAGCTCTGAAATTCAGGAATTTCGGGAATTTTGGGAATTTTATCTAGAAAATAAAGTTTATATTTTTATTTTTAATTTTAAAATGGTTTTCGTGGTTTTCATTTGATTTTTTGGGGGTTTTTTTAGGGGGAGGGAAACTGAGGCACAGTCCAGATCTGGGGGAAAAACCCCAAAAATTCCCAAATTTGGGGTCCCAAAAAAATCCAAAATTCAGGGGAAAAAATCCCAAAAATTCCCAAATTTGGGGTCCCAGGAAAACCCAAAATTTATGGGGAAAAGCCCCTAAAAATTCCCAAATTTAGGGTCCGAAAGAAACACAAAATTCAGGGAAAAAAAACCCCCAAAATTCCTGAATTTAATTCCCAAATTTGGTGTCCTGAGAAACCCCAAAATTCAGGAAAAAATCCCCAAAATTCCCAAATTTAATTCCCAAATTTAATTCCCAAATGTGGAGGTTTTGGGAGAGGGAAACTGAGGCAGAGAAACCCCCCCGGATCCCGAAATTCCCGAATTCCCGCCGGGACCTCGCAATTCCCGACCCTCCCCCGTCAGTGACAGCCACGAGGAGCTCTGAATTTCGGGAATTTTACCCAAAATTTCAGGAATGTTATTCAAAAAAATAAAGTTTATATTTTTATTTTTAATTTTATTAAAGTTTCTGTGTTGTGTTTTATTTTTATTTTTTGGAGAGGGAGGGAAACTGAGGCAGGGAAATCCCCCCCCCATGGAATTCAGGGAAAAATTCCCAAAAATTCCCAAATATAATTCCCAAAAATTCCCAAAAAAACCCCAAAATTCAAGGGGAAAAATACATAAAATTCCAAAATTTGGGGTCCCAAAAAAGCCCAAAATTCAGGAAAATTCCCAATTTTCAGGATATTTGGGGGATATTTTTTGGGTCAGTTTCAGGATATTTTGGGAATATTTTTGGGATTTTTTTGGGATATTTTCAGGATACTTTTGGGATAATTTCAGGATATTTTTGGGATATTTTCAGGATATTTGTGGGAATATTTTCGGGATATTTTTTGGGGATAATTTGGGATATTTTGGGTCACAGTTCATCGTGTTCCTCGTGTTCCCGAGGTGGTTCCCTGCAGGGATTTTGGGGATTTTTGAGCTGTTTTTGATGGGATTTTTGTGGAATTTCTCAGTTGTTTTTTGAGATAATTTCAGGATATTTTTTGGGATAATTTGGGATATTTTAGGACATTTTTTGGGTCACAGTTCATCGTGTTCCTCGTGCTCCTGGGGCGGTTCTCTGCAGGGATTTTGGGGATTTTTGAGCCATTTTTGGTCAATTTTTAATCGGGATTTTTTCTGTATTTTCAGGATAATTTCAGGATATTTTTTGGGATAATTTGGGATATTTTGGGTCACAGTTCATCGTGTTCCTCGTGCTCCCGGGGCGGTTCCCTGCAGGGATTTTGGGCATTTTTGAGTCATTATTCGTGGAATTTCTCAGCCGTTTTTGGTCAGTTTTTAATGGTTTTTTTTTGATATTTTTTGGGGATAATTTGGGATATTTTTGGGTCACAGTTCATCGTGTTCCTCGTGTTCCCGGGGTGGTTCCCTGCAGGGATTTTGGGGATTTTTGTGGAATTTCTCAGCCATTTTTTTGGGTATTTTTGGTCAGTTTTTAATCGGGATTTTTTCTGTATTTTCAGGATATTTTTGGGGATAATTTGGGATATTTTAGGACATTTTTTGGGTCACAGTTCATCGTGTTCCTCGTGTTCCCGGGGTGGTTCTCTGCAGGCCGCGGGGCTCTCCAGCTCCAGCAGGTACTCGCAGCGACTCGGCTCCGATGCCGAGAGCAGAGCGGTGCTGGGACCGCAGCGGAGACGCACCTGGGACAAAAATATACAAAAAATATACAAAAAATACACCTGAGTGACATCTGGGGACACCAAAATACACCTGAGTGACAAAAAAAATACACCTGGGGACACTGAAAATACAGCTGTGGACAGGGGAGGGGACAGGGAGAGCAGAGCGGGGCTGGGACCGCAATGGAGACGCACCTGGGACAAAAAAATATAAAAAATATACAAAAAATACACCTGGGGACATCAAAAATACACCAAAAATACAGCTGGGGACATTGAAAATACACCTGGGGACAGGGGGAGGGGACAGGGGAGGGGACAGGGAGAGCAGAGCGGTGCTGGGACCGCAGCGGAGACAGAGCTGGGACAGAAAAATATACAAAAAATACAAAAAATACACCTGAGTGACATCAAAATACACCTGGGGACACAAAAAATACATCAAAAATACACCTGAGTGACAAAAGAATACAGCTGGGGACAGGGGGAGGGGACAGGGAGAGCAGAGCGGTGCTGGGACCGCAGCAGAGACGCACCTGGGACAAAAAAATATATAAAAAATATAAAAAATACACCTGGGGACACCAAAAATACATCAAAAATACACCTGAGTGACATAAAAATACAGGTGGGGACAGGGGGAGGGGACAGGGAGAGCAGAGCGGTGCTGGGACCGCAGCGGAGACGGAGCTGGGGACAAAAAAATATAAAAAATATACAAAAAATACACCTGGAGTGACACCAAAAATACACCTGAGACACCTGGGGACATCAAAAATACACCAAAAATACAGCTGGGGACAAAAAATATACAAAGATACACCTGGAGACACCAAAAATACATCAAAAATTCACCTGAGTGACATAAAAATACACCAAAATACACCTGGGGACACCTGGGTGACATCTGAGGACACCAAAATACACCTGAGTGACATAAAAATACAGCTGGGGACAGGGGGAGGGGACAGGGAGAGCAGAGCGGGGCTGGGACCGCAGCGGAGATGCACCTGGGGACAGAAAAATATACAAAAAATACAAAAAATACACCTGAGTGACATAAAAATACCCCAAAAATATACCTGGGGACAAAAAATATACAAAGATACACCTGGGGACACCAAAAATACATCAAAAATTCACCTGAGTGACATAAAAATACACCAAAAATACAGCTGGGGACACCTGGGTGACATCTGAGGGACACCAAAATACACCTGGGGATACCTGAGTGACACCTGGGGACACTGAAAACATACCTGAGTGACATAAAAACACACCTGGGGACACAAAAATACACCTGAGTGACACAAAATTACACCAAAATACACCTGGGGACACCTGGGGACATCGAAATACACCTGGGGACAGGGGAGGGGACAGGGAGAGCAGAGCGGGGCTGGGACCGCAGCGGAGACGGAGCTGGGACAGAAAAATACACCAAAAATACACCTGGGGACACAAAAATACACCAAAAATACAGCTGGGGACACCGAAAATACAGCTGAGTGACAGAGGAGGGGACAGGGAGAGCAGAGCGGGGCTGGGACCACAGCGGAGACGGAGCTGGGGACAAAAAAATACACCAAAAATACACCTGGGGACACCAAAATATACCTGAATGACACAAAAATACACCTGAGTGACATAAAAATACACCTGGGGACACCTGAGTGACAACGAGTGACATCAAGATACACCTGGGGACAGGGGAGGGGACAGGGAGAGCAGAGCGGTGCTGGGACTGCACCGGAGACGCACCTGGGGACACAAAAATATAAAAAATATACAAAAAATACACCTGAGTGACATCTGAGTGACACAAAAATACACCTGGGGACATTGAAAATACAGCTGGGGACACCTGAGTGACATCTGAGTGACACTGAAATACATCTGGGGACAGGGGGAGGGGACAGGGAGAGCAGAGCGGGGCTGGGACCGCAGCGGAGACAGAGCTGGGACAGAAAAATACAAAAAATATACCAAAAATACACCTGGGGACATCAAAAATACACCAAAAATACAGCTAGGGACACAAAAATACACCTGAGACAGCTGGGGACACCTGGGGACATCGAAAATGCACCTGAGTGACATAAAAAGTACACCTGGGGACACCTGAGACACCTGAGTGACACTGAAAATGCACCTGGGGACATTAAAAATATACCTGAGTGACATAAAAATACACCTGGGGACAGGGGAGGGGACAGGGGAGGGGACAGGGAGAGCAGAGCGGGGCTGGGACCACAGCGGAGACGAAGCTGGGACAGAAAATACATCAAAATACACCTGAGTGACAAAAAAATACACCAAAAATACACCTGAGTGACAAAAAAATACAGGTGGGGACAGGGGAGGGGACAGGGAGAGCAGAGCGGGGCTGGGACCGCAGCGGAGACGGAGCTGGGGACAAAAAAATATAAAAAATACAAAAAATACACCTGAGTGACAAAAAAATACAGGTGGGGACAGGGGAGGGGACAGGGACAGCAGAGCGGGGCTGGGACCGCAGAGGAGACGGAGCTGGGACAAAAATATACAAAAAATACACCTGGGGACATAAAAATACACCTGAGTGACAAAAAACCACACCGAAAATACACCTGGGGACATCAAAAATATATCTGGGACACCTGGGGACACCTGGGTGACACTTGAGTGACAGCAAAATACACCTGGGGACACTGAAAATACACCTGAATGACACAAAAATACAGCTGGGTGACATAAAAATACAGCTGGGGACACTGAAAATACACCTGGGGACAGGGGAGGGGACAGGGAGAGCAGAGCGGGGCTGGGACCGCAACGGAGACGGAGCTGGGGACAAAAATACACAAAAAATACACCTGAGTGACATAAAATACATCTGGGGACACTGAAAATACACCTGAGTAACACAAAAATACAGCTGGGGACAGCTGGGGACACTGAAAATACACCGAGAATACACCTGGGGACAGCTGAGTGACACCCGCAACCCCCTCAGGTGACAATGGGGGGGTTCAGGATTATCTCAGGTGACAATGACGGTATCTCAGGTGACACGGGTGACATCTGGGGACAGTCACTGAGGGGACACAGGTGACAATGACAGTGTCACATGTGACATAGAGGTGACACACAGGTGACACTAACAGGGTTCAGGTGACAATGGTGACATTGGGGTGACAATGATGACACACAGGTGACATTTGGAGACTGTCACTCACCGTGGTGGCTCTGTTGGGTCCCTGCCAGCACCGCTCAGGTGACAATGGGGGGGTTCAGGTGACAATGATGACATTTGGGTGACAATGGGGTGACAATTGGGTGACAATGATGACATTGAGGTGACACAGGTGACATTTAGGGACATGTGTCACTCACCGTGGTGGCTCTGTTGGGTCCCTGCCAGCACCCCGTCCCCCCCTGGTATTTTTGGGCGCTGAATTTGTCACACGATGGTGACAATGACGGGGTTCAGGTGACAATGGTGACATTGGGGTGACAATGACGGGGTTCAGGTGACAATGGTGACATTGGGGTGACAATGACGGGATTCAGGTGACATTGGTGACACAGGTGACATTCAGGACTCACCGTGGTGGCTCTGTTGGGTCCCTGCCAGCAGCCCGTGCCCCCCTGGTATTTTTGGGCGCTGAATTTGTCACACACAGGTGACAATGGTGACATTGGGGTGACAATGACGGTGACAATGATGACAATGGTGACACACAGATGACACAGGTGACATTTTTGGGGACTGTCACTCACCGTGGTGGCTCTGTTGGGTCCCTGCCAGCACCGCTCAGGTGACAATGGGAGGGTTCAGATGACAACGATGGTGACAATGATGACATTGGGGTGACAATGGTGACACAGGTGACAATGGGAGGGTTCAGGTGACACAGAGGTGACAATGATGACACACAGGTGACACAGGTGACATTTAGGGACTGTCACTCACCGTGGTGGCTCTGTTGGGTCCCTGCCAGCACCGCTCAGGTGACAATGACAGGGTTCAGGTGACAATGACGGGGTTTGGGTGACATTGGGGTGACAATGGTGACATTGGTGACATTTTTGGGGACTGTCACTCACCGTGGTGGCTCTGTTGGGTCCCTGCCAGCACCGCTCAGGTGACAATGGGGGGGTTCAGGTGACAATGGTGACAATGGGGTATCACAGGTGACATTGGGGTGACAATGACGGTGACAATGACGACAATGGTGACACAGGTGACATTTTTGGGGACTGTCACTCACCGTGGTCGCTCTGTTGGGTCCCTGCCAGCAGCCCG